GTCTCTCTTGGCAGGACCGGTTTTTCTTTTTTTAAAAGATGCAAAAAACAAATGAGTTCTTTGGGGCCCACACGGGGGGCCTGTTCCCACAGCGATTGCCACGATTATACCAATGTCAGCGGCAGGATCATCTGTAAAGGTTTGTGTGTGTGTGTGTGTGTGTGGGGGGGGGGGGGGGGGGTGTTGAGTGTATTTATTTTTTTGGTTTGGGGAGGGGATGTTGTGTGTTTGTGTGTGTGTGCGCGTGTGTTTGTTTGTGTGTGTTTGTGTGTGTGTGCGTGTTTACGTGTTTATTTGTTTGTGTGTATGTTTGTGTTTGTGTGTATGTGTGTGTGTGTGTGCGTGTGTGTGTTTGTGTGTGTGTGTGTGTGTGTGTGTGTGTGTGTGTGTGTGTGTGTGCGCGCGTGCGTGTTTGTGTTTGAGTTGAGGCGGGGAAGGGAAGGAAGAGGAAGAGAGAGAAAAACAGTATTAATTTATTATCTTTGATTTTAACTTCCTTCTTCAAGTTTGACAATTGCTTGTATTTTGTTTTGTTTGCCTTGTTTTACTTTTGAGACTTTTTAACTACCTTTACCGTCACATACAGAAGATCTGAGTTCGATTCCTTTGTTCAGTTTTTGTTTTAGTCAGAGTTTTACGGCACTTGCAACACAATAAGGTCATATAAGTGCCGAAGAATAGATTATGTTTTACAAGAGAGTTACATACACAAAAAAGAAGGAGGGGAGATAAGAACAACAGATAGGAAAGAAGGAGCAAACCACGCCAGTGCACCCGCCAACCACCCACAATTCCTTTGTAGAAGGAATTTCTTTCGAGTATCTCGACTTTTCCTTTTGGGATGTCGTTTCTTTCACAGCCCAGGTTGGCTCTGACAGACAAGGTCGGAGCCCGCCCCCTTAATGATGTAGATTGGGTTGATAGGGTCATAAAAAACCCACTTGCATTAAAGATTAAAACCCGACTCAACGATTTAACTCCCAGCAGTTTTACCTATTTTAGCTTTTTCATTTATGTTTCAGGGGTCCACCATACCCCCAAGCCTCATGCAATAATCTATCTACTCCAGTATAGACATATTTTAAAAAAAAAAATCAATGGGAAGGGAAATGGAAGGTCTTTCAGACATAGCCAAAAGATTTTATTTTTGTCTAGCTGTCTTGAAGTTGAAGTGGGACTTTTTTCTCCTTGTTACTAAAAATAGAAACAGAAACAGAAATCATACATTTCCAACAGTCACAAAGAAGGGAAGAAATGTTTGAGAATTTAGAGTTTACAATCTTTACAGAGAAGAAAAAAAAATATATTTTACAATTTAGAGTTTACATTACTTTGATGAGAAAGTACATTCAGTTCTGCATGTAATGTGTAAAAGACACCTCATTCTGTTGAAAAAAAAGAAAAGAAATGAGGGTCGTTCTCGTGCATTCTACAAATTCTTGGTTATGGCTGGAAATTCCAGAGCGATTATTCTATAATAAAACCATCAGTGTTAATTCATATTTAAAAATGTAAGTCTATTTAGTCATTTTTATTAGATAAAAATACCTTACAAAATCTTTCTTTATAAAAGTAAATATATTTTATTTTAAACCCAGACTCACCAATGGTGCAGACATGACCCGGCCTGGGCAGCCAGTGTATGATGTACTCAACATTGTCATCCTCGTCCACTACTTTAATACCGTAGTCGGCTCGCTCGAGTTCTGTCGCTGTGTCCAAGCGCTCTCTTACACAGCTAGAAAAGAACACGCATAGACATGTCTTTTAAAAGCCATTGAAAACATTAAATCGCTTCATTTATTCGTGTGGTATTTGACACAATGGCGGGTATTGAACGTGATATTCAGGACCAACAATGATAACTCTTTTTCTTCTTCTTCTTCTTCTTCTTCTTCTTCTTCTTCTTCTTCTTCTTCTTCTTCTTCTTCTTCTTCTTCTTCTTTTTCTTCTTCTTCTTCTTCTTCTTCTTCTTCTTCTTCTTCTTCTTCTTCTTCTT